TCAACTGAAAATGGTTTTTTTTAATAACTTCCCCCTTTTAGGTACATAATAACAGCGCTGTGTGGGGACGCGTGCCCCTCCCCGCCGCCGGTGGTCGCAGCTGTGTTCTGGGTGGGATATTTCAACTCGGCACTTAATCCACTTATTTACGCTTACTTCAATCGGGACTTTCGAGCGGCTTTTAGGAAGACATTGGGCTCGTGTTGCAGGTAATAAGTTTTTTCTTAAGAGGTTTTTTAATGCTGAAGTTTTCGTGATAAGTACCTATATTAAACCCGCTGAAAAGGTTCCGTTTTAATTAAATTGTTTTACTGGTTTTACTGTTACTTTGGGCGTTTGAGTGTGTAAGGGGGAAGGTGCCTCCTTGGTTAATAACACAATATTAGATGTCACCCCTAGAACTACATAGATTATTAGCTGTTGACGCTTATAACTGTTCAGTTAACACTGTCATACAACTGGGCGTAGCGTGTTTTATGTTGATTATGTGATGCTTACAAATATAAGAATTATGTAAAATATTTTTCATGTTTATTACACTTGTTTTCTTTTAAATTTACTGAAGTAATTTTTTTACCCGTTGAAACGCGTTTGTAAAAACACAGTAGGTTTCCCCATTATAGCAAATATATTTTTATTACTATTTATTACTTTTATTAATCTAACATCAACTTTTTACTGCTCTCCCGTAACACTAGCTTGTAAAAATGCTGGTCATGTAACAAGTTATATTACACCGTGTAACGTTGGTCATTACATTATTTCATAACCTAATTTTCACATAACACTGACGTCACAGTACACGTGTTATACTGCATGATTTTTACGTTTTTGTGCATTCGGCAATGTAAACCGACATCCTACAATCAGGATGCAATTGCAGTTGTGGGAGTAAATCCCGCAGCGGTGAGTCGGATAATGAGGAAAACGTTTATATTAACTGGAGAACAATGTAAGCGTGGGTTTACATTGCCGATAGTCATACATTTTCATATAACAAAACAGTACGAAAAACAATAAAAACAATAAAATTCTTACTTATGCTCGGTTTCTGAGTACATCTAACCATTTATTAGTATTTATGGTGCGATAACTTCATGAAATGAGTTTCCGAACTACGTTGCGTTACGTAGCGATAAAATAAATGAAAACTTCAGAAACCCAGCATAAAACTTACATATGTATGTACATAATAAATGCAAAAGTTTAGATGTTAGAGTTTGTATTCTAAATTGCTGAACAGATCATGATAAAAGGCATAGATGTAGAGCATAGTCTGGAAGAACACAGTCTTCTTTTGTTTTTTAATTCCGCACGAAATAACTGACAAAAATTACTAACGCATTTCATTCTTAGATCGCTGTTCGGTGACATCGGACGTCGGTTTTGCTGCCCTCAACAATTATTACGAAGAGAACATCATCATTCGAACGCGTCTTCTGATATACATATGAATAATTGCGTGAAGTCGACCTCAGCGGATGTACTACGACACCAACCTTGCAGTTCTAAAATCGAGAATATCGAAATCGCTGCATAATATCGATACCACGCTTAAGTACGAGTAGTGTAGACACTTAAGCTAAGGTTGTGAAACTGTTTCTTTAGTTATTAAACACCCAACGGCATATCTGATTGTGTTGTTGGGTTCTCATCTCATACATTCGCTCCCTCTTTTGTATATAGCTACAGAACAATGCTTATTAGAAATAAAAATCATATCCCAATAGTCATGGACATCATCATCTTTCTCCTTATCCTACTCCCGTAGGGCGTAACAGGTTTTTGTCCTCCACATAACTATACATACGTCATCTCAGTCATCACTCCCTTTTTCCATCTCTTTCTAAGTCTACCTCTACCGGTGTACCGCACTCATAACTAACGTTCTCCATGTTACATGCGATTCTCCTCATAACATGCCCATACCATGCTAACACTTTACTCCTTACCTTGTCTACCTTCTATAAACTAAAATTGACGATCTGCAGATCAGTGAATATGGCTCAAAGATTAGCTCAATTTGTACAGTCGCGGAAACTGACATCCACCTAAAAAGCTACAATTGTTTGAATATTTTCAAACGAGTCGTGAACAAAAATCAATACAACGCTTATAAATTTGTCTAAAGAGTAGGTTAGTGACACGGCTTTATTAGTTATTTGTAGAACGGCTAAATGTCTCGTTGCAATGAAAAGGCAATTTGCCCTAAAGTTGAATACCGCATATTTCCGCGACTGTACCTATGTAGAATTATAATTCGGATGAGCTGGAAGTCACCGTAGTGTTCACGGTTCGTCGGCTGTCATAGTTACTCATCGTGTTGAGATGCTAATTTAGTTGTTGAGCCACAGCTCCGCTCAGGAGTAACTAGCTGATCTATAGATCCGATTTAGAGATTTACACAAGTCTATAACCTCAATCGTGTTATGTGCTAATTTAGTTGTCGAGTGACAGCTCCCTTCCCTATAATCTCAAAAGATAACCTCAAAATTGTCAGTGATTATGTAATAAATTGTTTTTAATATGTGTATAGTGTTTTAATAAATGTTGTCTGTGTTACATAGATTAATAATAATGTATATATACAGTCTGTGTTAGTTATTAATTACCACATTTAAAAAGACCTAATGTAAAGCCTGGTATATACGCTAGAACTGACAGTTTAAACTGATTTGAAACTGTGCATTAGACAATGGTATCTATTTATTTGAAGTTTCAATACTTACGCACAGTTTTAATTGAACAATATTTCAGTTAAAATTGTCGGAACTGGAGTCTGTAAAAAGCATAACCGAATATATAAAGACCGTACAAAAATATTCTCTCTTATATTAAGTTAATTATTCTACTTTCAAAGTATGTAAAGAAAATTAAAAATAGTTAAACAGTGATCACGATTTCTTAATAAGGAAATATTTACATGTACTTTGAAGGAATAAGAAAAAAGATACATATCATTTAAACCAAAGACAATATACTTTTAATATAACAGATGTAAAAATAACTTTATTGTTTATGGTAATCATATTACCAATTCATTTGGTAATATTCACAAAAAACAATAAGATCACATTATGAAAAATTCAATTATAATAAGACAAAAATAACTTTTCTAAACATACCAAAGGGAATAAATAAATTTAATACGAAAACTAATAAAGTCGAGATATTTAGTTCATTGGATATTATTAATATTCTATCATTATGAGTTTATTAGGAATTTCATTAATTTCTCTTGTACCTTAGAAATATTCATTTTATCTTATCGAAGAACATTATAAAACAAATTATTTATAAATGAAATAAAAAATAAACTTGAAAACTATAAACATCAACAGTTTTTATAGAGTTTTTGTATTTATGTTATACAAACAAAGTAACTACAGAATTCTACTAAGATGAAAAGTGAAATAAAATTAAATAATCTGTGAAAAGAATAAAAAAAGTTGTTCCACTTATGGTGATGCCACACAAAAGGTGGGGCGCGACGTGTGTTGTGGCGTGGCTCTATGGCTTTGTGATTTGTTGAAAATAATCTTAACATTAAGTAATAAACCTAATAAACTCTCTTTTAGTTAAAAACATACCAAAGTTTAAAAAGACATTTTTGTATATATTATGTAATTTTTAATAGACATATCCTAATTATTATTTAAGGTTAGTGGTTTGTGCCAATATGTAATGAATGTATATAAAAGAGAATTCAAAAACTTGTATATATATCACTTAAGGACATAAATGTAATAGCTAATCACGTACTGCGATATTGATCTTTGAATAACTTAAGTTTGAGCTAAGTTAATCAGAGAACTAATTTCGTGTTCGTCGACGTAACTTAAGTTTATGTGGGGAAATTAAATACGTTTTCAAAGGATATAGAATAGATTGATATTATAGGCTTTCAATAAAAGCTTAATGTATGAACTTTGGCTTTTATTTTTTATCCCTCTTTCTACATAAGGAATAAAAAATGAGCGCCTAGAAAAATAAAATTCATAATAAAAAATCATACACAATTGCTATTCAAATATTAACAGTGTAATGAAAAATAAATATAAATACAATATTATACAAAAAATTGAGATGACTAAAATTTAAACCTATTTTCCTACCTAAATTCATAATCTGATATTCTTAATTTTACACAAAAATGGTAGCCCTACGCATAACCTAGATTTGAATGAAAAAAAGTCCAAGCAAATTTACATTTCCATGTTCCAGACAGTTCTATGTAAAACTGGATTTTTGCAATTTCATTTCTACTCCAGCACTATAGGATATTAAATCAAGAGCCAACGTAGTTTACAATTCGGAATAAAATTATCACATTGGGTTTAACAAAAAAAATAGTGTTAAAATACATTTTAGATTAAGAGCATGCGAACACCTTTGACTAAACTATCGCACAACTGTGTAGTCTCGCTTTGATTCCCATGAGCTTGTATGGAGGTGCACACTACTCGAGTTTTAGTTGTGCAACTAAACAGTTGAATTGGCTGCGAAACAATCGACAATAGCACAACAGATTTACGATAACCTAGTAAAGCCCTAATATAAAGTGACTTAGAAGACGGATTTTTGACAAGCGGTAATCTAGAACAAAGAATTAAAGTATAATTTTTTAACTAAATAACACAAAAAGTATTTATTTTCAGTAACGCCAGACTTTTATCTCGAAGCTCGATCTGCTTAAAAATCTCTTCGATAAACTCCAAACTCCCAGAGATAGCACCATTAAGATCACATTTCATGTCTTCGAGACGCCTTAAGCAACGTAATTGAATCTGAGAGGGCTGGTATTAGAGTGAATTTCGTCGCTTTAAAATGTATTAACACTGATAGAGTGTTTTACGTTTCAGCTACTTTTTTAAACATTAAGCTAAGAAGGTTTCCATTCGACTTTATTATATAGTAGTTCTTATAACATTTAATAATGCCTTAAAACAAGCTTTAAATTATGAGGACTGCAAGAAAAAATCTACTGTGAGAATCATTATCAACTGGCCCTTATCCCTATGGAGGACCATCACAGTGTGCTGCTCTTCCATACATCTCTATCAGCCGTCATATCTAAATCCACTCCTTTCTTAAGCATAAGCACCTCTTTCACACAATCCATATATTTTTTTTA